CCTGTCTTCTGAGAGAAAGGCACAGCCTATTGTCAATGAATTATGGACCCCAACACACATGTGGTGTTAACCGAACATGAGATCTCATCTTGGAGGAACACCTAGAACTGCTATACAGGCCAAAAATAGTCTGGAATTCAGCCTCAGAAGTCAATGCATCTGTTCCATCCACGATGAACTTTAGACTAGAAATAAGGCGCTTTGGTTTACATATAAGGCACATATTTTTTTAACACTGAGAGAAGTTAACCGTTGGAACAACTTACCAAGGGCTGTGATGGATTCTCCATCACTGGCAATTTTAAAATCAAGACATTTTTCTAAAAGATAAACTTTTGTTCAAGCAGGAACTGATAAAGTCCTATGGCCTGTGTTATGCAGGAGGTCAGACTAGATGATCACAGTGGGCCCTTCTGGCCTTAAAAACTGTGACTGCGAATAACATGAAAGTGTTACAGCGGAAAACAAAGCTAAGTATGATCAGAGGGTGAGTCGGATGCATCAGACCTCCAGCTGGCGTAAACTGGTGTAGCTCCACCAAAGTCGATTTACACCAGTTGGGGATCTGGTCCATAAACTTGAGGTAGGATGGAACTTTCAAATGTCTCTTGTGGCACTGAATGCCACAGTCTAATTACGTCTTGTGTGGAAGAGGTATTTCCTCTCCTAGGGACTAAAACGTAAGAGGACCTGGGTGCTTCATGCTTGGGGTATTTCGAAAATCTCCCAAGAGCAAAAAGTCCAGGTTTACATCAGCAGTAAATGATACAGAATCCAGCCCAGATTCCAGTCCATGCTACATCCATCCCATAACTCTAATATACTAACCAAGGTCATCATTCTTGTCCCCTATGCTCTGCAGACTTGTTCCTTTGCCAGCACTGCCCTTTGTGCCAAATCATGTCAAACATTTTCTTATCTGACTTACGGAGCACATCAAGCCTTTATATACCAATGAGTCCGTTTGCAAGAGGGTAAAATCTGGGGATTAGCAGGGACTCAATCCTGGCAGAAAATCCATCTAGCATTCCTGGAATGGGTGTCTTTTCACTGACTTGGTACTGAACTATTTCACACTGCCAACTGGGCCCAGTT